GACAGGGAGGGAGGGATGTGCAACACAGAGAAGACAAGTAGTGACTACAGCATCTTACTACGCTGATGGACAGTGACTATAGTGGGGTTTGTGGGGGGGACGTGGTGAAGGGGGGAAGTCTAGTAAACATAATGTTCCTCATGGAATTGTAGATTAATGATATGAAAAAAATTAAAATAAAAAAAATTAATCTACAAGGAAAGATAAGACTGATGGGGCAAATTTTCCAAAGGACTTGACTTGAAAGATGTTAATTTAATACCATGCTAGGTCTGTAAAGTATTGCCCTGTTGCACTATCTCTATTTTTTTTACTTGAAACACTGTGACCATCATAGATAAGAAACATTTCGGATATATGATCATACAGGGCGGAAAACAAATAGTAAAGGTTGTACTTCTGTACGCGTGCTTTTGTTCGCTCTCATAAATCCTTACCATGTTGAGGAGAGTAAATCTTTATAGCGATGGTGACAGTAATGATCATCATCATTTATTGACTGAGCATAATATATGCTAATTGCTATTTTAAGTACTAAATATCTATTAACTCATTTAATCCTCACATCAAACTTAGGAAACAGGTAGAACTAATCTTCCCAATAGCAGTAAACATCTATCCTTTAAGTTTTTCCAAATATCTATTTCTCTAGTAAAAGATTCCTAAAGAACTTGGCAATCCCTTCACTGACAAACCAGCTCAATGGAATTATAGGGGTGGGAGAGAAGACAAAAAACATTGAAATGTTGATAAAATTAGTAATATGGACAACTGGTATACATGTATGTGAATCATTACATTCCTTCTTCTCTGAGAAGCTGTGTTGCCTAATTGAAGTACTTAAAACAATAGTCTTCATCTTCACCCAGATGTAAAGATCTAACTTCCATAGTGTGACAGGATGATCATTCCTTAAAAATTGACATACCCTCCCTTCCCCAAGTCCCTTTAACTATTAAGACTGTAGGGGCTGATCTAACAACATACCCTCAACATGCCATTATTTTCCTGCTATCCTAGATCAATCTGTATCCATTATCCTCTAGACTTCTGAGTCAGAACCCTCTGTGATTTACTTTGTGTAGATAATTTGCTATGATTAATAAGAACATCTTTCTATAGCTAAAACACTTCCTCCATATAATTATGTATTTTTAATACATAATAAAGAATTTATTTTTAATAAAATGCCCCCCTTTCATCTTTCTTAATATCTGTAATATTGAACCAATACACTACAACCAAGAGTATGTGGGCAATTCTGAAATTTATCCACTTGATACCAAAGTAAAATATTTGGGGAAATAAATCCTTTAAAAAGCAGCAGATCTGTGAATAGACCAATTACCAGCAAGGAAATTGAATTGGCAATCAAAAAATTACCTAAGAAAAAAACCCCTAGACCAGATGGTTTCACTGCTGAATTTTATGAAACATTTAGTAAAAACCTAATATCCATCCTCCTAGAAGTTTTCCAAATAGTAGAAGAGGAGGGAATACTCCCAAACTCATTCTATGAGGACAACATCACTCTAATACCAAAACCATGCAAAGACACCACAAAAAAAGAAAATTACAGACCAATATCCCTGGTGAACATAGATACAAAAATACTCAACAAAATACTAGCAAACTGAATTCAAAAATACATCAAAAAGATAATCCATCATGATCAAGTAGGATTTATTCCAGGGATGCAAGGATGGTACAACATTTGAAAATCCATCATCATCATCCACCACATCAACAAAAAGGACAAAAAAACACATGATCATCTGCACAGATGCTGAAAAAGCATCCAACAAAATTCAACATCCATTCATGATAAAAACTCCCAACAAAATGGGTATAGAGGGCAAATACCTCAACATAATGAAGTCCATATATGACAAACCCTCAGCCAACATTATACATAGCAGCGAAAAGCTGAAAGCTTTTCCTTTAACATCGGGAACACAATCAGGCAACACAAAGAAAGAAAAGGCATCCAGATAGGCAAGGAAGAAGTTAAATTGTCCCTGTTTGCGGATGACATGATATTGTACATAAAGTACCCTAAAGAATCCACTCCAAAACTACTAGATCTAATATCTGAATTCAGCAAAGTTTCAGGATACAAAATGAATACACAGAAATCTGTTGCATTCCTATACACTAATGATGAACTAGGAGAAAGAGAAATCAGGAGAACAATTCCATTCACAATTGCATCAAAAAGAATAAAATACCTAGGAATAAACCTAACCAAGGAAGGGAAAGACTTATACTCTGAAAAGTACAAGATACATGAGAGAAATTACAGAAGAAACCAATAAATGGAAACACATCCCATACTCACGGATAGGAAGAATTAATATTGTCAAGATGGCCATCCTGCCTAAAGCAATCTACAGATTCTATGCAATCCCTGTCAAAATACCCACAGCATTTTTCAACAAACTAGAACAAATAGTTCTAAAATTCATATGGAACCACAAAAGACCTGAACAGCCAAAACAATCCTGAGAAGGAAGAATAAAGCAGGGAGGATTACACTCCCCAACTTCAAGCTCTACTACAAAGCCACAGAAATCAAGACAATTTGGTATTGGCACAAGAACAGACCCATAGACCAATGGAACAGACTAGAGATCCCAGATATAAACCCAAGCATATATGCTCAATTAATATACTATCAAGGAGCCATGGATATACAATGAGGAAATGACAGCCTCTTCAACAACTGGTGTTGGCAAAACTGGACGGCTACATACAAGAGAATGAAACTGGATCACTGTCTAACCCCATACACAGAAGTAAACTAAAAATGGATGAAAGACCTGAATGTAAGTCATGAAACCATAAAACTCATAGAAGAAAACATAGGCAAAAATCTCTTGAATATAAACATGAGCAACTTTTCCCTGAACACATATCCTCGGGCAAGGGAAACAAAATAAAAAATGAACAAATGGGATACATCATGCTAAAAAGTTTCTGTACAGCAGAGGACACCATCAGTAGAACAAAAAAGCATCCTACAGTATGGGAGAATATATTTGTAAATGACATGTCTGACAAGGGGTTAACATCCAAAGTATATAAAGAACTCAAATGGCCTAACACCCAAAAAAGCTAATACCCTATTAAAAAATGGGTGGAGGATATGAACAGACACTTCTCCAAAGAAGAAATTCAGATGGCCAATAGGAGCATGAAAAGATGCTCCACATTGCTAATTACAGGGAAATGCAAATTAAAACCACAATGAGGTATCACCTCATACCAGTTAGAAAAGACATAGAAAGGACTAGGAACAAAGCTAGTGGGAATGTAAACTAGTTCAACCATTGTGGAAAGCAGTATGGAGGTTCCTCAAAAAACTCAAAATAGAGATACCATTTGAACCAGGAATTCCAGTTCTAGGAAATTACCCTAAGAATGCAGAAGCCCAGTTTGAAAAAGACATATGTACCCCTGTGTTTATTGCAGCACTATTTACAATAGCCAAGAAATGGAAGCAACCTAAGTGTCCATCAGTAGATGAATGGATAAAGAAGATGTGATACATATACACAATGGAGTATTATTCAGCCATAAGAAGAAAACAAATCCTACCATTTGCAACAACATGGATGGAGCTAGAGGGTATTATGCTCAGTGAAATATGCCAGGCGGAGAAAGACAAGTACCAAATGATTTCACTCATCTTTGGAGCATAAAAAGAAAGCAAAAACTGAAGGAACAAAACAGCAGAGACTCACAGAATCCAAGAATGGACTAACAGTTGCCAAAGGGAAAGGTACTGGAGAGGGATAAGGGGAATAAAGGTTATTACGATTAGCACACATAACGTGGGGAGGGGCGGCGCATGAGGTAGGCAGTATAGCACAGAGAAGACAAGTAATGACTCTATAGCATCTTACTATGCTGATGGACAGTGACTGTAATGGGGAATGTAGTTGGGACTTGAGAATGGGGGGAATCTAGTAACCAAAATGTTGCTAATGTGACTGTATATTAATGATACAAAAAAAAAAGGCAGCAGATCTGGAAATCTTGAGTGGAACAGTCCTAGGTTACTGCTTTGCTTCTTAGCGACTGTAATAACTTAAGGCTTGACTCACATATCCAGGAGAAAATATTACTTGGTATTTATAATTCAATGAAGATATGACGTGCTAGACAGTGAGCCTAAACCTGAAGACATGGGAAGAGTCACGGGAAAGCAGCAATACATAGGAAGGAATAATGCAGAGAGCATATGCCTTCCTATTTTTCAAACAATACATACCATGGTATAATTGTGAGCCACTTTATGCAAATCTGTACAACCTTGGGCATCAGCAAAAGAACGGATTCCAAGACAGTTGGAAGGGTGAAGCTGTTTCATTAGGAACTTACAGCATGCTTCCACAACTTGTGAAAGCTGAAGAAGGCAAGCTGTAGATAGCAGGCACTCAATATTATCTTCTTTTAATTCAAGGCGGCCTTGATGAAAAAAAAATTCCATTAACTATGGAACTATAATAACCTTAGCTTACAAAATAATTGGTTCTAAAAGTAACAATTCTAAGCAAGAGCTCATTGCAGACTTGATGGTTTAAGACATTCCAAACAGAAAAAGAGAGTAGTATGAAAAAAATTACCAGCTCTACTATTTCTACTAAAATAAAAAACTAGAATATTTAAATGATGCTTTAATTAGTAACATATCTATAATATATGCCTCAAATTTTAAATGCGTAATTTAAGAATATTACATAATTCATGTAATTATTATACTAACAATTAAAAATACCACTCAAAAGCTTAATTATGATAACTATTTTAAAGGTTCTAACAGAGATTTTTAACCTGTACAGGTATCACCAGGAATGCTGATTACAATAGCAGAATTAACTGTTAAATTGTGGCAGGCTTTATTAAAAGTAGAAATCTGAAATCTAATAATATAACATAAATCTGAGAGATGATTAATTTACATTTTCAGATTTATTACCTGTATATGCATACTGAATCAAGGACCATAATGAATTTGGTTCTACACCTTCCATTTTTATTTCTTCTTGTCTTGCTTCCCTGACATCATTAGTAAACATGGCAGCAAAATAATCTGAGACAGAGGAGAGCACCAACCTGAGAACACGTTAGAAGGAAAAAAAAAGTCAATGACCACATTAATGTTGATGTTCATTAAAAAATGCTGCTGCTGCTTCTCTCTCTGTTTTTTAATTTTGTTACCCATAGAAAGTGCATGGCACTGGGAAATACATTTTGACAAATTGCTTTGCGCTCTAGTTCCTTCCTTTGAATAATAAATTACCATCACTGAAAATTTTCTGCTAAGGTAAATGATTTAACTAATCCCTACTCAAGTATCACTTTACAACACCCAGAAAAAAGCTGCAAGCCGTCAGCATTAAACTATGTAAAAAAGAAAAAAAATGTAAAGGTTATTTTCTGTTGATCACTTGAAAAAAACCTAAGGTTTAAAAAAAAATGAATTGTAGAAGAGCATATATGGGAGACATTTGAGAATGGTTTTAGCAGGTTACTTTTAACTTTTATGACTTTTAAAATTATTGTAGAATATTAGAATGTTTATATTGTTATATAGGATTAGATTATTTTTATCAGATTATCAAATTATAGTATTTTGTTTTAATGACATATTACATAACAGCTGTGTCTCTGTCCAGATTTTTGATAGCCATATATAAACAAAAATAGGTTATAAGTATGTATTTTGAAACATGCACTCTTTACTTGGTATGTCCTGAAGATATTTCCAAGTCAATACCCAAATACAGATTTACTTTACTCACTACTTTGAAGAAACAGAAAAAGATAATATTGGAAGCTCTCTCTGTGTTCCTCTCTACTTCCATTCGCCTCCTTACCCAGGGGTTCACCGCCGAGTCATAAGGTTTGCCAAACTGCTCTCCAGAACACTGTGCCAATTTAGACCCCCCACCAGCATTGTATGAGAGTTAACATTTTCCCACAATATTATCAGATGCTAAAATTTTCAGCCATCTGCAAGGTGTTAAACCTAATCATTGCTTTAATTTTCATTCCCCTGAATGTGAGATTGAAGACCTTTTCAAATGTTTATTGGCCATTCAGATTTCTTCTTCTGGAAGCTGCCTATTCATTCCTTTATTCACTGAACAAATACTAATGCACACTTAGCAAGTACTGGGCACTGTTTGAAATACTTGAGATCTATGGCATAAAAAATAGACAAAAGATCCCTTCTCTCACAGAGTCTTACATTCTAGAGGAAGGGAGACAAACAATAAACAGCAGAAGTAAATTCTACAGTATGTTAAAAAGTGATGAGTCCTGTAGGGCAAAAAGTGGGTAAGGGCAAATGGGGAATGAGTGGTGGGTTTAAATAGGTGGTCTTATTGGAAGGTGACAACTGGGCAAAGACTTGAAGGAAGTGCAGGAATTAATCATACATGTATGTACGAATAGCATTTAGGCAGAAGGAGCATCCAATGCAAAACTTTAAAGGCAGGAGCAGCATGCTGGGCACATATCAGGAACAATGTGGGGGAGGGAGAACCTGCTGTATGTCGCAAGCAGAGTGAGCAAAGAGAATGTAGGACATAATGTGAAAGAGATTAATGGCAGGTGGATCACGAAGGCTCGTGAGGACATGGGCTTTCACACTCAGTGACATGAGTAGTCATTGAAAAGTTTGATCAGAGGGGCGACCCACCCTGAGTTCTATTTTAAAGGATCATAGGTAGCTCTGTAGAAAACAGAATATAGGAGAAAGGAGTGAAGGCAGGGAGCCCAGTTAGGAATGTCTTGTACTGGAAATCTAAGTGGGATCATGACAGCTCACACATGTGGAAGGTAAGGTGTAAGAGTTCTATTTTGGAAATACAGAATCATGAGATGCCTCTATGAAATTCAGGGTGAAATATCTTTTCTACTTTTCTAATAAACCCATGCGCATAATACGGAATTTTGTCAGTCATAACAGCATCTCAATAAATGTAAGCTTATTATTGAAAACAATAATAAGATCAAGCCCATTCTTCTTAGTGATTTTACTTCCTTTGGAGGGTTTCAAAAAAACCTTTGGGACAGATTGTTAATTTGTTTTAAAAATCATAAAAAAAATTTCTTTGGGATCATAATGGTAATTAACACTGAAAACTGAATATGGAATTATCAGAAGAAATGTAACATATTGTTCTTTATTTAACAGTTCTTTTTCTTTTCTTACTTCTAGAAACAGTGCTTCATTTGTTTCAAAGGCTTTTTTTTGCTCCCAAACACCACTGCTTTTCATCTTCTTTGGAGGTCAGCAAAAAGAAGTCGGGATGTATGCTGCTGTTTTAAAACTCTTAATATTTTTTGCCACTTCATTTCAACTTTCTTGCTTCTAAATATAACTCTAATCTCCATCGAGTTTACTTAAAGTTATTTAATAGGCAGAATTAGATAGGGTGAAAGCTGCTCTTAGTAGACGAAATCTATTATCAAACAATACTGACGGATCTGAGACTAGTGTGTTTTGTGTTTGTACTTTTACAGAGGGCAGGTGATCCTCTGGGGTCATTTAATGTGTAATAATGTCATATGCACTGTTTTCTTTGTAGAAATTCCATGAAAGATATCCCTTCCTAAAAACATTCCTTCCTAATAGTTGGAATGAGTTAGCTCAATATACATAACTAAATTATCAAGGAAATACTTCAAACACACAGAAGTTTAGAAAACAATTACCTATGAGCTGGAATTCTGCGGTCACCAGCAACTAGAATCACATCGCATAACTGTTTATGTCTCAAATAATTTTCCATCTTTTTAAATGTTTGCTCAGCATGATTAAGGGCTTGGAAAAATTCATCTGATGAACATGGCTCCATAGTATGGCAGGATGATAATGTCTGACTACTATTGGAAGTCCTGAAAAGAAAGAGAACATGCATTTTGAAATATCACTATCACATTAAAAAGATCTTTTCTATCAAGTATTTTTAAAGCCTTCCAATATAATAGAAGTCATCAATGTTACCAGTCGATATTAATGTACAATCATTTTTGTCTTTAAAAGTCAATGACAGTTCAAATCATACGTGTGTTTTGTAAACACTGTGAGTGAGTGTGACATCTGATGTTAATAGCCATATTCTTTGTGGTGCCTGTTTTTGAGGTCTTTTTTGCTGGTCAACACCTCTTCACTGGAAAAAAAGCCAAACTACATTCATACTGATAGTTGTATCTCCTAACACTATATTTAAGCGTATAAGAGATCATTTTCTGAAGGCAGGAAGGCAATTAAACTATATTGGTGATATAAATACTGAAAAAAAAAAGGGTTATGTTCTACAGTTCTTTATAAGATAACTGTTTACAAAATATGTTGTCATAAAAACAGTGTTATAATTCTTTGCTTCTCTAGCCAGTCTTCAAAAGCCCAGATAATCTAAATTTGTATTACAGGTAAGGAATTTGATAGACTAATCCAGGTATCTAAAAATTATTTGAAATTTCCAAATTATAATTTGAAAAGTATGAGTTCTATGTTTTCACATCATTTTCTGTTGGAAATGGTGAAAAAGTGAAAAGGTTAGGACTGAGAGTAAAGTCCTAGTCTACTTCACCCTTGTGCCCCAAGATCTCTTCTCCATGATCACTTGAATCAAGTAAACATTCTTTGGATATGCAATTAACTACAAAACCACTGACTGTGCAAAAATTAAGTTTCATTTCTCATCAGAAACTTTTAAAAATATTATGTTTCGACAAATGCTTTGTGGAATCAAGCCTCATTGTAGCTTAAGAGAATTTTCTTAATATAAATATTTAACAACCTTATCATAAAAGAAAAAGTCATTGGAAACTTTTACTTTTCAAGTAAAGGGAACTGAAGCCAAGGAGATGAAGTGCCTTGCCAGGAGTCTTAGAGTTCGTTCATGACAGAGAAGGCTGTTGGGCTATGTGTTCACCCAAACCCTTTTCTTTTCTCCTGGACATATAGCTAGACTTATCTTCAGGCCTTTCTCACAAACAAGTGTGGTCTTTAAGACGGAAATAAACTATTACCTTTGGGCTAAAGTGGCTAAGAGAGGGTGCACCTTTCCCATGCTTTCTCTTAACATTACCTGAATGGAGAAGACTGAGGACTTGGATGAAAGAAGAGGTAAAATACACACATGAAAGGTCTCTCAAGAAAGAACACGCATACAGACTGTACTCACAGAACTCTCACACTGGATTGAGATTTACCAGTTTCAGAAAGTAGTAGTACCTTGACTAATACATTTCTCTACCTAAATCCTCCCAGCCCAATGCAATTCCAGTGTCATACAAATATGGGCTCTAAAGAAATGGAGGATAATTGTCAATAATGATAAGAGAAGTAAAATATATATTATCTAGAAGAGATGTGTCATACACAATGAATAGTACTGGTGTAATGACTTGGAAATCCAGTATTATATACTCAACTTTCCATTTCAGACAATTAATTAAAAAATGTATTGAGTAATGTGTAATTATGTTACTTATATAAATAAATGAAAATTAGAAATTATTTTAAAATCTAGGAGAAAACACAAGTAAAATAAATAATGGTGGCTTTGATGAACAGCAATTTGAAGATTTAAAACACTTTTCAGTAAAATAAAGTTTTATATTGTCAAAAAATTGACAAATGTTTATGAGAGTTTTAGTGATCTAAGAGTGAAAGAAAACCAGAGTAAACTGATTTTCATAAGCCATAAATACTTTCAAGAACAAGATGAAGTGAGTAAATCAAGTACTTCTTTCTTAGGGGTACTATATTTTGTATCACATTTCTTATATTTTATATTAAATTCTCAGTAATTACTAGACAACAAATTAACTGAATGTTTTCTGAGTGATGAACTGCCATCATTCAAACATACATGCTAATCAATGTTAGATTTTAAAAGAATAACAGAACTTGATAATACTACTATTGTCAAGTTATTACAGGCTAGCTTAGATGTTGGTATTAGCCCAGTTAATAAACAGATCTCCTTCCTTGTCAAGAATTTTAAAGGTATTTGGTTCTTCAACCTCTGACATGAATCAGGACAACCTGAGGAGCATTTCAGTATGTGTGTTCAGGGCCTCATTCCCTAAGATTAATTCACCAGGTCTGAGATGAGACCTGAACATCACATTTTTTAAAAGCCTGACAGGTGATTCTAAAATGTTTCACAGGCTGAAGACCAGTGGTGTGCACTGGAGGGAAGACATGGATACACTACATAAATCGGCATGTAATGAACTTAGAGGTTCAAAACATTGATTTATACAATAGATTCTTTACTTCAAACTTATGTAAACAATTTCTTTGACTAAAATATTTTAAATTAAGAAGTAGAACTTAATGGAGTATTTGTTATTTTTAAAATAAGCATAAAGGTAAAACACCAAAAGCATTTATACACATACACATTAACAAACAGTAACTTATGCTTCTAAAAGAACATTTCAAACTTCGCTTTTTATTTTCAAGACTTCCACTAACATCACTTATTAAAGGCACATATTATTTCAATGTGACAATTACGTCACTGAGATTTCTGGGTACAGAAATCACTTCCCCTGCTCTAAATGAAGGGTCAAAACAAAGGGACAGAGCTACTCAAAAGGCTTGAATAGCTGCAAAACTTTCTAGCATTTCTTGTTTTGTTTTGTTTTTAAGAAATCTGGGACTTTGTATGTATAATTTTAACAATGCCAAGAATTTACAAAAAAATTTCTCTGCATATCCATGCAACTATAGGACCATAGACATTAGAACGATTACATAAATAATTTTTATATCTAGAAGGAACCTATGTAATCATTTAATTCAACTCCCTTATTTTGCAGGTGAAAACATCTGAAGCCCAAAATGGCCAAAGCAATCAACCAAGGACACACAAGCAGCTGGTTAAAAAGCCAGATCAGGAAGCAACTGGAATGTAGGCTAAATAGGAATGGAAATTCTTGCTTACCTTTACCCTAAGGCATTAGTGAGAGCAAGGATGTAAGGTAGAATGATGGTACACTATGAATGGGGATAACTTAACAGAAAAAAGACAATAGAATTACAGATCATAAGCAAAATCTGCTATGTGACCACCCCTTAGCCAGGAATAAGAGATAAGAGTTTTTTAGGTTTCCATGGGACACAGATTGCATTTCTATCCCTGACAAATAAAACTGCTTTTAATACTCTGGCTCTGTGTGATTTACAATACTAATACTTGCTTACTCTTTCCTTTCCTATTATGTGCTTTGGTCTGGAGAGTTGAATTGGAGAGTTATGGTATAATGATAAAGAGCATTTTAGGTTCTAGAACTGTGCTATCCAATAAAGTAGCCACCAGTCCCATGGGGCTATTTTAAATTAAAATTAAATGAAATAAAAAATTCAGTTCTTTAGTTCAAATGCTCAATAGCCCCAGGAGGCTAGTGGCTGCCAAACTGGATGGTTCAGATAAAGAACATTTCCATCAATGCAGAAAGTTCTATTGCATTAAACTCCATCAGTATGTATCACTCTGCACAAGTTATTTAACTCTGTAAGCCTCCCCTTTTTCAAAAGCAAAACAGGAATAAGTAATATGTAGTTCTTTTAGAGGATCCCCCATTGGAGGATTATTAAATGAAATAAGGACTGCATAGCCCTAGCACAGAATTAGTACACAATTAAGGTAAGCTATTGTTAGCAGAACTTATCTTTCCAGTGGCCAAAGGGACTCCTAAAATCTCAGTCTTTTGCCTTTATATATACTGTTTGTTTGTTGGCTGTCTTTTTAAATGATGATCCACAGCATCACCAATTTTTGTAACTAAATTTCAGACTTCCTAATTAAAATGGCCTTTAGTAGACATCCTGAGCCACAATACAAACATCAGGCTACAGGCCATTTATGAGCATTTAAAATATATTTCTCTGAGATTTCTATTTGATCTTTTATATAACACAGGCAATACATACATCATCTTTGCTTAGTTTTATTTATATGTTACTAAGATGGTAAATCATATTTCAAAAACTCCATGAAATCATTCAAATCTTTTATAATAGATGTTCACTGTAATGAACTATACATTGCTGAATATTTCTGAGCTATATGAAAACATTTAATATTTAGCTTATTGTCCCTCTGCAGTAGGCAATGAATTTGTAAGTCAGAAAAATTACTAAACACAGAAAAGAAGCAAATATCAAACAGAATCAAATTATCAACTATTTCCAGAGTAACTCCTGATATGCACAGGATTATATCAGTTGTTAGACATTGTGCGGATGCAAAGAAAGACATGATTCTTTACTGAAGAGGCTTTAGTGAATAAAGTTTCATAAACTAGAGAAAATAGCAATACTGTCTAACCCTTGCAATTCCTCAGATTTTAAATATGTGCACTTGCACATGCACACACAAAATATGTATGATGATCAACATTACCTTTTATTAAAAACCACTTATATTTCCTCACTTTCATCACCCAAATTTGCATAAGGCTTTTTTAATGGAGTATTTTTTGTGGTTGTTGATTTTTGTTTTTATTTATATATTTTTAAAATTCATTTTATCATTAATCTACAATTACATGAAGAACATTGTTTACTAGACTCCCCCTTCACCAAGTACCCCCCACAAACCCCATTACAGTCACTGTCCATCAGCAGAGTAAGATGCTATAGAATCACTACTTGTCTTCTCTGTGTTGCACAGCCCTCCCTATGCCCCCCACCCCACATTATACATGCTAATCGTAAGGCCCCCCTTTCTTTTTCCCTGCCCTTATCCCTCCCTTCCCACC